GGCTACCTATCGTGCGCCGGGATTGATCTTAAGATTTTGTCACCCTAGACTGGTCCGAGTCTAACTGTAGCGAACAGCTGAGGTGTGGGGGAGTCACCCCGTATAGATCTATACACAAACTCTCGCTCTCCTTCCAGGAGACTTTGATTATAACTACAGACTACGAACGACCCTTGGAGGTATCGCCCGTTATTACTCACTTAACCAAATAACATTGATTACTATTGATTAACGACCTGAATTTGTTTACTTTGATTACGCATAAGCCTAACAAACGAGGAGAAGAGGAAAACAAAGTCCTGCTACTTTCGTGAGTTATTTCAGGCTGTTGGGTATACGAAGGACACGTTGGTCCATTTCGCATTTGATTACTTGGACCTTACTAGCAGTGCTAGTGGGCCACTAAGGCCCAATAGCACTTAAAGCCATTGAGGGTCCCTTTAATATGAAATGGGGTCATCGAAGGCCCAATAACATTTATTATTATTATCTCTTGGGCCCGAAAATCATGTGGATGGATCACAAAGGCCCAACAAGCATGATTGGAACTTTCAAGCCCAGAGTTTTGATGTTTACTTGTTTTAGGTATTGTATAATTGTTGGAAGGTTTGATTGAACGATTGTTATTTTGTATCGACTCGAGACCGATCGATTTTGTTTATAACGATATTTGGTTATACGTGTATTCATCTTTCAATTTTTGTAAGTCGTAGTTTAGTATTTTTGACTCAATATTCTAGAAATAAAATAATTGACTTCAGAATATTGGTTTGACCTTTTCAGCCCTTTTTTAATAAAAATGACAATTTTAGTCCCTTATATAAAAAAAAGACATTTTTGCCCTTAAACTCTTTTCTTGACACTTTTGAATCATAGACTTGTTCAATGATATTTTTAGCTCAAACTTATTCTTTGGCAGTTTCAGCCCTTCCAGAAAAGTGTTTTTCGGTTTAAAACCCAAACTTTTCAACTTTTACAATTTTGGCCCAAAATCCAAAAACCTTACATTTTTTATCCTTTTTTTGGAAAAGAAAGGCATTTTTAATCCTTGGAATAGTTGTGTTTAACTTTTTATCCCTTGTTTTGAAGAAGTTACCATTTCAGCCCTTTTAAATTCATGATTTTCGCAACTTTGGGCTTGTTGGGCCGAAAAGCCCAAATATTAGCCCATTAAGCTATAATTACATTTCAAGTCCTTTGAAGAGCATAATATTCATAAAAACATTTGTTGTAACTGTTTTGACTCCTTTGACCCTTAAGAATCCGTAAATGACAATTTTTGACCAACTTTTGTTCATTTGACAATTTAAGCCCAAAAATGGGTTTATGTTGAAATATGTTTATCACAATCTTATAAGTTAATATTCTTGACTTGTTTAGTGTAATATAACTTAGATCATGTTTGTTTTCCTTCTTATGGCATAGATCTCGAGATTTCTTCCCTTTTGATTACATATTCATCACAAAAACACATAAAATCACACATACATGCATAAAATCATACATAGCATACACATACACATAGATCTACACATTTTCTTGTATTCTCCCCCATAAAACATATAAAAACCGAAAAAGAGAGGGTATGAACTCACCTTTGCTTGTTGTTTTTGATTTAGAAGGAAGAAATGAAGAAAACTTGGTCCTAGCAACCCTTCTTGGAAGATCTCGAACTTAGAGGTTTCTAAGATGGTGATCATGAGTTTAAATGAGTTAAGAGGAGATTTTTGATAAAACAAAGAATTTAGATCATGGATCCAAGCATGAACTTACCTAAGATGATGATTTTTGTGGAATAGCCTCCTTGGAATGCTTCTAATTCTCGAAAATTTGATGAAGAAGAAGAGAGTTCTATGTGTTTGAGAGATATTTTGAGAGTTTGTTTGTATTTTTGAGAGTGTGTGTGTGTTTGAGTTGGTTTCCGGCCGAGAGAAAAAGAGAGAGGAGAAAGAGAGAGAAGAGTTGAAAGGATGTGCATGGGAACATGAGATGAGTGCATGGAAGTCCAAAGATAATAAAGAGGTGGCAAGTGGAAAGTCAACTCCCCCCCCCCCTCATTTGTGTAGTTGGGCCGAGAAGAGGAGAAAAAGAAAGGAAAATTGGGTCTTTATGGTGCTTAAGTCCATTATATGGCCCAATTGGTCTTGGGAGAGGGTTCACGGCCCAAAATAATTCTAGAATGAGTTTTATGGCCCATTAAGGCTAATTAGATTTGTTATGGCCCAATAAGGCCCATTAAAGATAACCTAGTTCATTTTAGGCTTATAAGGCCAAAATATTAAGTTTCATTCATGTATATGGGTCCAATTAGAGTCCATTTAGGAGTTCTAAGCCGAAATAGTCAATTGGAGGCTTATTGGTCCTAAGGCCCAATAAGAAGATCCTTATCCAAAATGGACTTAAACCGGGATTTCTAGGGCTTCCAATTCTTTGTTGACTATTTGCAGTGCTTGTATAAGGTGTTTGATGGAAGTTTTGTTGTTATTGAATAGGCACCAATGGGTCGAAGGCACCACAGTCGGCCATTTTGTGATATGTGGTACACTCATTGTTGTAGAGATATGTGGGATGATAAGTAGTTTTGCTGCTGTTATGTTACTATATATGTGAATTACGTGCAGGGACACCCAGGGGGAGCGCTGACACTTGGATTAAGACCATGTGGGGGAGCCCATGGCTTTTCAAGTAAAGACCATGGGAGGAGCCCGTGGTACTTGGATGTAAGACCATGTGGGGGAGTCCATGACTTTCCAGCTAAAGACCATGGGGGAGCCCATGACACTTAGGTGTAAGACCATGTGGGAGAGCCCATGGCATCCTGGAGTAAGACCTTGGGAGGAGCCCACGACATCCTTATATGTTTGTATGCATGGCTTATGTGGTATATGTAGTTTTTATAGTTAATATGATATGTGTTTATGTGGATTGTGTGTGGAGTATGCTATGGGGAACTCACTAAGTATTACCTTACAATTTGTGGATTTATTTCAGGTACGTCTGAGCCCAAGGGCAAGGGCAAGGCTTGATGGCGCGACATGCTCTCTCTCTCAGACGTTTTTATGGGACACTCTAATGATTGGAATAATATTGTTATTGTTATGAATTTGAAAACAAATGTAATGAGATTTTATGGCTTATGGTAAATGTTTTTGACTATTTAAAAATGAAAATTTTATTTTGAAAAATTGGGTCGTTACACACCGATATAAAGGATTGACCAGCTTGGTCTGAATGTGATACAATATACTTATGTGTAGATTATTACACAAGTATTAGTCATCTATAATGAAATTTACTCTAATATTATGTTATTTCCAACAATTTATGCACCTATACATCCTCATAAATATAAACAATGCCCATTGTATTTTCGGGTTTTGGATTTCCAGTCTTTCATAGTCACCATATACCATCTACGATAGTTCATGGTAGGGGTGAACAAACCGGTTTTTTTTCAAACCGAACCGGTTCAGTAAACCGGTTTGGTTCCGATTCTTGAATAGTAAAACCGGTTCAGCCATAAACCGGTTCGGTTCAAACCGGTTCCGTCATAGAAAAACTCGAACCTATCTAAATCGGTTATACCGGTTCAATCGGTTCTAAACCGGTTCGATCGGTTCCACTACCGGTTCACGGTTATTAAACAGGTTTTAAACCGGTTTCAATGTTTAAAATCTCGAACAGGTGCAAACCGGTGGTTCGGTTCTTGAATCGGTTCGGTTCATAGTGGACCGATTCGTAGTGAACCGGTTTACCGGTTCGGATCCTGAACCGGTTTTTTTGTGCAAGCCTAGTTCATGGTGTGACAATTATTGTTAAGAGATCATATATTGGTTTATAGTCATGTGAGCCCGTACACAAAGTCTTAGTGGTTATCCAGTATTGCGATACCCAAGCCACCAATGCAATCCTTCAAGAGTTTCACACTTGCACATATGAATGCCACACACAAGAGTCTTGAAAAAGAGAAGACTGTGGAGTTTCCGTATTGTTGAAATGACGTTGACCACCAATCAATATGTAAGCGATTTATTTTCTAAATTCACACATTACTAAAAGTAAATGACCTATGTACGTGATTTATTTTCTAGATGTGTATATGTGAAACAAATTAATATTGGCGCATAAATCAATTTCTTTTTTACTTGTTAATTTGACAAAACATCCAAACGTTTTTATATATTATATAATTCAACAATCTTGGATAGATTATTATTGACTTACTATAAACAGACATTCATAAACCAATTTTGAATGAAACTATCAAACTATAATTTGACACTGTGATGATCCAAAATTAACAAGCTTTAAATCGATATCAAGCAAAACCATCAGAAAACTTCAAGCAAACTTGGCATCTTTCAGATTCTACACTCAAAAATTATATATTCTTTTCACGTTTCCTCAAGTCAAGAGCCACGTCAAAATGACCAAATTATCCTCAACTTCATGACAAACAAATATCCATTTTGGTAATAATCTATTAATATCAATCACTAGTACCAAAAGTACAAAAAAAAAATAATAATAAGTGTTCATAGAATCTTGTTTTTGCGCTCTAATGCATTTGTGATTCTTGTAATGCAGTATGCTGCACTCAATGGATACCCAGAAACTGCAAAAACCAAAGTCATGTGTCAAAAACTCAAAATATATACCGTTTTTCTTTTTTATATATTTTAACTATGAGATAATGTCAATAGATGCTTTGTATACTATATTCTATTTTCAAAACCTAAAAAGATTAAAACAAAAAAATACATATAGAATGAACTTGCTTGAAATAAAATCCTCTATGAAGTCATTTTCGATTTTCCCATGGGCCATAGCACCAACCTAAGCATACACAAGTTAAATATCATTGGTTAAAATCCATGTATATGTTTTATCATTATTATTCTAATTTATACATATATTTACATACATACCACAAAAACAAGATTTGCATCTTTGTCCAATGTAGCAACATAGTCATGCATGTCAACCAGCTTCTCTGAACTCTATGCGAAAATCCTGCCCAAAAACAAATAAAAATTACAAATTTGCCCTCAACTATCTTTTCCTCCATATCCCCATGTGTACTTTCATTTTCTCATATATTTTAAACAATATCATTTATCCAAAAAAGAATTACAAACCTATCTTGCAAGAGTTGACTGAAGGTATTGAGTTACAGGATTCTTGATCACACGCATAAGTTTTTCCCGTTTCCAACAGCAGAAATACTTAGTTTTTGAAGTAATTGCACTGAAATATATCAATAAAATCAAATATGACAAAAATACCCTTGATTAAATACCCTTGAAAAAGGGAAGCATGCATCATATCATAAAGATTCTGACACATGACAAAACAAACAGATTGTACTCTGTTATGCATTGGACTCAGATGTCAATGTTTTTTTTTGTATTGTTTCTGATTTGTGCAAAAGACGTAAATGCCCTTTACATCAACATGATTGAAAAGAGTGAACTTACACATGATTCCAGCAAATCTTTTAAAGGTTCTTGGAATACGAACATGAGGTTTGATTTCAAAAAGAACATTTTTTTCTGTTCTCACATATAAAGCTCTTAGTTTACCAGCTTTATTCAATGGGCTATCTAAGATATTCAATATTGCCTGCATCAAAAACAAGTAATGTCTCCAAAATCAAACCAAAAAAACAAACATATAAGTTTCTTGACAAAATGTTTTAAACAATTCCAAGATGGTGGAAATTAAGGATCACTAACCTGATGAGAAATGTCAGGTCTGTAATCAGCTGGATTTCGATTGTTTTTCCTCAAAAAATTAGCATGATCTTCTGAGTTCAACAATTGATAACTCTAAAAACACGAATTTGATAAAATACATCAATACACATGTAATCTTGTAATTTTAATGGAATAAGGACAATGACATAACAGTTAATCATAAACAATTTGAATCAGAACTAAGAGAACTAACCTTCCCAACTTTTGCAACTTCCAAAGAAGCTTTCTCGAGGATAAAAATAACACCGGGACTGTTCTTGTCGTTGCCCTGTTGTTCGTTCAAGTTCACCGGAATACCTGAAAGTTCTTGAGCCGCTTCTTCTGCTTTCTCCTCATCGGATTCTGTAGCTCCACCCTTCAATTTCTTCTGAATCCCCTCTTTTTCCCCTTCTTCTTCTTCTTCGACAAACCCCACATTTTCTTCTTCGTCTTCTTCTTTATCATACCTTTCTTTGTTCTTCTTTCTCTTACGACCTTTAATTGCATATGGTCTCACCATCTTCTATGATTCAGTAAGTTCAATATCTCTGTTCTACACTAATAGGTATTCAAATTAGTATCAAGTTTTCAACTGCGAATGGAAAAATCATGTAATTAAGCAAACCATATGCATAACTAGTGAAAGAATTAGGGGAAATTACCTTTAGAGATAACGAGCAGTAGAGATTGAAGGCTTGTGGCGGCTGCGGGGTTTAACCAGCGTTTGAACAAGGAAAAGAGGTTTTTGATGGATTTGATAAGGCGAGTAAATTTCGTTACACCCCCTGAGGTTTATCTTATTCTTTAATTGATCCCCATACTCTTATTCTTTAAAGCAAATAAACTTATTTCGTTATGACTTATGAATTATGATGTTTCAAAATAGGTTGCAAACAACTAACTTTATGATGTTCGATTTATATTTTGATTTTTTTTTTTTAAGGCTAGATTATTTAGATTTGGAGAATAGAGTAAAGAGTTATTAAGAAAATTTATTTTTTTCTAAATTATATGTAACAATAAGACTTTGTTGTTAATATTTTTTGAAAAAGTATCATCAACATCAACATATCTCAAGTCTTGTAGTAACGAAGTAAAAACAAAATTAAATGTTGAGAGACATATCTCTATAATAATACAAAACTACAAACACAAAGAGAGTAATCTTGTGTATACACCTGAAGTCAGAAGTCATATATCAAAGGTAAAACTCATACAAACAATAAAGCTCAAAACTTCTACAGTTAATAACGTAGAGAAAAGGGAAATGTGATAAATAGGTAGCATGTAAATATTGCTAAAGATGCACTCATATAAGTAAGAAGAATGACCTAAAGATGCCAAAGGTACTACATGTACCTCCATTCACACGGCTCCGTAGAGGAAGGGTTCAAAATGGTGCGGGTTCCGTGGATTCACCAAAGTTTTGAGCTCACTCCCTCTTTATCTCTATGTATGCTTCATAACTTATACATCCATATGTTTTAGTATTTGTACATATAGGTACCTCCATTCACACGGTTCCGTAGAGGAAGAGTTCAAAATGGTGCGTGTTTCGTGGGTTCACCAAAGTTTTGAGCTCACTCCCTCTTTATCTCTATGTATGCTTCATAACTTATACATCCATATGATTTAGTATTTGTACATTAGGAGTGGATTGGAAGGGTTAAAAAAGATGGATTATTTGTGTTGTGGGCTGGAAAATATGAAAGAGAAAGGAGAAAGAAAAAACTAATGTGACGTATATGCAATAAAAATGTTAGGAGGGTTGGGAGGGAGTGACTCCCTCCACCTTAAGCTACTTGATAATCTTCACACCATTTTATATGATGTCATGTCTTCAAGAAGAAAGGAAGAAATACAGTTGTAGAGCTAAATGAAGGTTATGGCTCACCAACACTTTTGCCTTCAAACTACTAGTTTATTATAAAATCATTAAGAAACCTAAAAACGGATGCTCATCATCTTTTAAAGTTAAGAATTCCTTTATTTACTTGATTGGAGCTTGGACTCAAGCTCAGTTTGGGCTAATTTAACTCGATCTCGAGTCATCATTTTAATGAATCGATCTAAGTAGCTTGACTAGCTTACACCCATACGTCTAGTGTTCCTACTACTAAGATTTTAAATAAATTATTGGTTTTGTACTTCGAATGGGGATTTGTTGAAAAAATTAGGTTAGATGCAATTGTGAAAGACTTCAAAGACACAAAGATTAACGAGTTCCACTTTGATGAATGATATCAGAATATATCATTCTAATTGTTTTGTTTATATTTTTATATGTCATATCTAGGGGTGAGCAAAAACCAAACTGTAAACCGAAGAAAATGAAACCAATGGTTTGGTTTCGTTTTTTTCATAAACCGAAAAATTCAGTTCGATTTGGGTTTGTAGAATGAGAAAACTGGGGAAAAATGAACCGAACCGAGTTGAATAAAGTTTTTTCTAAATATTTTATGTATATATTATAAATAAAATCCATGTTCTTTCACTGGAAGTTGCTGCTTGTCCATGTGGTTAAGGCGTTGAGCCTTTGTGAGTAACGTCTTCAATTTGAGTCTTGTTTCGGACGTATTTGTTTTATTTTACGAGTTGGTGGATGCATCCCACATCGATGCCCAGATGAAAGTTCTGCCATTTTCATCATCTAGACAAGGGGTTGCTCGTTTTTTTAAATCCATAATGTGAAGTTCCATTTCATTTGAATAATATAAAAGTTTTGCATAGATACAGTGGGTAAAAGAGCAAAAAGTTGTGCCGCAACCCTTTTTTGGATGACAAAACTAATTCTTTTAAAAACAACATCAATAGATCTTGTGGTCATAACATTACTATGCATGACCCGTTGGACTCTATTGAAAAGTTCCACAACATCCAGCGCGAGGAAACCGAAAGTATCGAATTCCCCCTCCAACTCTTATATAACGATTTCTCAAGTGGTTGTTAGTTAGGTCAAGGTTCGGGTTGGGATTTGGTTTCAGTTTAAAACCAAATCTGAACCCGAGAAAAAAAAATCGAACTGCATAAAAAATCAAAAACGCACACCGCTAAAATAATTGTACCATTCGGTTTTGTGGTTGGAATAACTGTATTTGTGGTTTGTGATTCGGTTTTGGGCAATAACCGCATCATGCTCATTCACACTTACATCCTTGAATCAAATTAAAGTTAGTTATCTAGTCATGTTTTAAAGATTTGGTTTCACCCCTCTAATTCTACTGCTCTTGTTCTGCCCCTACAGAAAATGCCAACTCATTTATGTGTAACATCATACTATCTTCTTACCTTTTAGGTAGGCATGAGTGTAGGCAGATACCCGCCCTAATTATTTGGAACCGAAACCGGTGGTTCCTAAAATGTTAGAACCAGAAGCGAAACTAACAGATAGCGGTTCCAATACTAGGTACGCAGTTCGTTAAATTTATTGAATTTTTTAAACTTATAAAAGTATATATCTAAGGTAAACTTATAATAAAGTTCTCGATAACATCAATACATAATTCATTATGTATTAAAAAATGAGGATTATAAAATATTAGTACCTTGAATAACATTACGAAAAAATGTGTGCATGGTTCTTAAAACCTATAAACAAACTCCATTGATTTCATGTATCTTAAATTCATATTTTTGATATAAAAAAATTCAAACAATTGAAGTCCATAACTAAATAAATATTTCTATGAATTAGAATTTAAGTTGAACATAATAGTACATTATGTCTACGATCTACAAATTCATTTTGAACCTGGATAGTTTAAATTCAAATTGAAAATTACACATGAGCATTTAAAGATTCAAAAAAATTACTCAAAATTTTAGATTTAAAATGATGTTATTCAAGATACTGTATAAAGTATGTGGTTGTGATATATATATACACACACACATCGGTTCTAATGGGTACTCAGCAGGTAGCGGTTCTGTAAAAATGAGAATTAGAATCGGAATCGACAGTTCCTGTTCCAGAAACGGGTACTGTGTTCCACTGCTCATCCCTTCTTTTGGGACATCATATCATCCTTGTATCATCGACCACTATTGACTCAAGTACTCAACTAACGTAGCTAGAGTCTCTACTGTCATTTGGACATAGTCAAACCATTCTTCATTTTCTCAATTTTTATACGATGGATGTAAATGAATCTCTAATTACAAACATTTAGAAATATGTAGTTTTCTACTACATATCCAATAGACTGTGGCATTCTTATTCCCATAACTTCCTACTTTCCCCATGCTTTTTCATCAACTAACATGACAGGAGATGAAAATTTTGGAAATGAGAATGTTAGACTAAAGCCATTGATGATCCTTCTCGATGGGCTCATAGCTATTTTCCACAAAATACAAAACACCAAACTAATTTATATATATATATAATATATATATATATATATATATATATATATATATATCTTTACTATATTATTAAGCATATTGCCCATTTCTTGAAAATTAAGAGGTATACCCTTTTTAACATCATGTACAATCCGATTAAGCATAATGAAAACGTCTGCACATTCTCCTTTGATTGTAACCGATAATAATACCTTCTCCTTATATCTATTATATCTAAACGTGGAAAACCCTAATTTCATCTACATACCATCAGTCATCGTTTCTCCCAACACTCATCTACATACCTTCAGTCATTGTTTTTCCCAGAATTCGAAATCGAAATTGAAAGAGGAGCAGGAACCAAACGAAATTCAACGTGTGTTCTTCAAATATTTCTAAATTTCCTGACATGTCAGGTATGTAATCGTTAAGGATTTCCAATTACATAAAAAAAACATAGATGGCAACTATCGGTTGGTATGGACTAGAACATACATCGCTCTCTTTGAACCCTCATTTCTGTGTGGACGTTTCCTTCAAATTCTTATATATGTTTGTGTTTTATGTAGTTTTAATATAAGTTTTCCATTGTTTTTGCCCTTTACGCTCGAAGGTATAGAAGGATATCATAAATAGTAGCATCGCTGGTGGTGGATTTGAAAAAACAAATTTGATCTGCACACCAACTGTTTGTTCATATGTCTCAATGAACTTCAGTTACTTGATTCCAAAACTGGTTGCTTACCCCAACGTAAGTTTCTTTCAAATCATAGTGTCTTCCATGAAATTCAATCATCACTTCAAATATCTTAACATCTTTCCTATTTTTTCTGTTTTATCTTAGTGTGCTCGGAAACCATCCTGATTCTCTCTAATGAGTCCAATCTGCGCTACACAACTTTTTTTTTGTTTTGTATGAATTCAGGTGTGTGAAATGTGAATCTTTTTACTTGATTAAGTTTCTAATGGATTTCTTGATGTTTCTTTTGTTTGTTGTTGTAGGTTAGATCATTGCAACAAGGCCCATGACTTGATCGTGTTTGTAAAGTGTGATTAAGGATTACTCAATTGGTTCATGTCAGTTCTAATCTACCCTTTGTCACAGGTGTTATATCCTTTTTTATATTTTCATCCATGCCATAGGAGAGGTTAAATGGTTTAGTCATGTTTCCATTAGTTTCCCTTAATTCCTTTTGTTTTTAGGTTATAAATTATTATATTTTGTAGAATTAATGGTAACTTTTAAATTGTTCATATTTTTGGTTTTGAAACTGTAGGCAAAGTATAAAGTATGCATGGTAGCAATGTATTGTAAGTGTTGTTGAACTGCACCAAATAACAACATACTTTTCAGTTTTACCATTTTTTATTTTCTTTTGTTAAACACCGACAGATGAACGTTACCACCATACCCTTACACCGTCATCGACCATCACCTATTTCATCTCCCTCTCTAAAATCGTCCACCATCGCTTCCAATTCTATATGTCGAAACCTAATCTACCCATCGGAATCCCTGCTATCACTCAACATTCTCTGTTAAAACCTTAGACGTTGGGTTACCACCATCATCAAGGTATGTTGGTATGCTAATGAGTTCATAATTTTTTAGTGTCGTAACAATTTACGACCAAGAAAGGTTATAAAAGATAATATTTAGGATTTGTATTGAAATATTCGTCTTAGAAATGTCATTAGTTGTGTCTGATTCATGTTTTGATTCAGATTTTTGGTTATAGCTATCAAACTTTTACCGGTTCACAAGATCAAAATTTGATACTTTTACAACAAACTGATTTTTTTTTTTCAGCTTACTGCCATCGAATTCACATACTAAGGTTCATACATTTTTTAATTTTTCTATAGGTTAAAACAATATCTCTTCATCCCTTGACTCTTTTTTTACTCTAGCGATTGCAGGTCTTCCACAATTAGTTGATTTGTTGAGATGATGAGGAAGACAAATAACCAGATTGAATGTGGCTTCTTAACTCTATCATCCTCTCTATTGCTTGCATTTATAAAATCTAGGTAAACTCTCTCTCTCTCTCTCTCTCTCTCTCTCTCTCTCTCTCCTGATCCCTCTCTTTTTGTTGTTTAGAGAATTGTAATGGGAGGTTCACCAAGTGGTCTCAGTGGGGAGGCTGTAATGTGTTATGATTTTTAGTGTGGTGGAGGATAGTGGTTCGTGGTGATTAAGATGGGTTGTGATGGTGGTGGTATAAGGTTGTTTTGGTGGTGGGTATGATGGAAACAACCATGGAACCAACACTCTTCCGAAACAAGCCATAATTCCCTGTTAAGAGAAGAAATAAATCAGGTATGTGTTTCCTTTTTCTTTTCTTCTGTTCATTATACATAAAAATTAGGTGTGTGTATACTGGATCTATTTACTGTGTGTTTGTGTTTAACAACTAATTTCAAAAAGAAGGAACTAAAAGCTTAATTTTGTGGCATGGCTTTGGAGGAAAACAAAGTTTTCTACAATGTTATAGTTAGCGTGTGTGTGTGTATAGCAGGGGGAAAGGGGCATCTATGTGAGAGATCTGATCTCTTGGGGGGAGGAGGAGGGGGGATGATTAAGTACCATATACAATCAGAATTGTAAAAGTGTTCGCTTCATCTGCTAAGTCACATTTTTGCTAATTACTTCTTAAGAAATTCATTTGGGAAATTCCTTTTTTGATATGTCTGATTTGAAATATGTTGTCAATGTAGTTACATGTCTAACTTTTGTTTTTATTGTGATATATAACAGTTGGACATATATTTCTTGATCTTCCACGGGTTGCAATTTTCACTCCTAATACTCTCTTCATTTTGATCTCGACGGAAATTTAATAACAAGTTTAATTTTTCTTATTATTTGTTTATTTACTATTTTATATTCACAAATTTCCTAATATTCGATAGGCAAGAACAGTCTCAACTGATTGTCCGTGACTAACTTTTTTTTAATAATCAATGAAAATTTTCATCCAAGTCGGGTCAATCTATGCGTAATATTGGGTGGAAGCCTAAACCTTAAAATGCCATCTTTGTAGGTATTTTGATTTTTGATGCTTCCTGGAACTAGAAATAGATGCAAGCACAATATGGTATTAAATCTCTAAATGTTTTTATTTTTTGGAAGCCTATACCTTTCTGATTCAGCTTCAAAAATTCAAAGTCTCTGGAAACAGACATGTTAATATCACCTAATGATAATTTAGTTGAAAAGGTTAACAAATGTTGTGTTTTAATTACATATTAATGGAAAGGAGACAAAGGGGTAAAGGACAAGACCTATTCAAAACCCATCAGGTTTAACTTTTAGGTAAGCAATTCTATTTTTTTGCTTTCTGTAGAATCATATTTGCAATGCAGGGATGTACATATTTGGTACTCAAGTTTAATTATATTTTTTTGGTTTTGGTCCCTAAAGGAATCGGGTTACATATCAGCCCTTTTTTTTGGAGTTTTTCAATGACCGTGTTGCCCTTTAATTGGTTTTTTATAAATATTTCTTATCATGTAATGTTTAACCCATAATAAGTTCAATTCCAGAACTTAAAGCTTCGTGAGGAGTGATTGCATAGAGCACAACAATATGATGTGACGAAAGTTCGTCTTAAGGAATCAACACAAGGTTTATCATAATATGGTGTTAGAGGGTAATATTGGGGAAATATTACCTGTTGATGGTATACATGCACACAACCATTTCTATTTTAAATTTAAACTTATTTATAACTTTTTAAAAAATGGATATACTTTGAAAACGGAAACATGCTGTGAAAATGGAGAAATCTTAGTGGGAATCTCCTGGATGCGTTTACCCTATGTCATGAAATTTTCACATAACCATTTCTATTAACTTCAAACAGTAAAATTCTTCACACATGACAATTTAATTATATTTTAAATGTGCAGAGATTTATGTTATTGATTTGAGCTCATCTCCATCAAATGAGAACATCAAACAACCACATTTGATGGAAGTTGTCTACACAAAGGATAATATTACGTGATTATACATTATAGCGTTGTTCACTTCAAAAATGGTCCATTATAGTGTTCACTTCAAAAATAAATGTTTATTAATGGTTTAAATTGATAATTGATCTTTGATAATTGGTTAATAAAACTTTTTTTTTCTAATTGTATATTTAAATAGGTGATTATACATTATTTGCCATCCCCATCTTGTAAACCTAGCCCACCGTACTTAAAGGTTCACATCCCCCTCTTCTACAAATTTATTTAAATTGTTGATGCAATCATGATGAACGTTTGCGGCAAAAGGTTTTCGATCGATTTTTAATTACACGGCTACAATATCTTGTTTCACTGATAGCCGTCGTACCACACACATATATACAACACCATTGATGAACCTATTACAATTCCATGTTCACAGCCGCCAAAGAAGACTCAACCAATGTAATCAAACTGTAATATTTCCTTTTGAGTTTTTCTACTATTTTAAAATTATTTGATTCTTTGTAGGCTCGTAGGTTTTCATACATATGATACATGTTCATTGCTAGTTTTCTAAAATTATAATACTCCATTGAGTTCTGCTAGTTCTTTATTTATTTATTTATTTATTTTCATTCATAATAAAATTAGATAATCATATAAACACCATATAATGTCAAAGATAATGAAAATCTTAAATAGTGTTAATAGTTGGAATTTACTTATTGTTGTCGTACATGAAATTTGTTAATTGTTGTTTTACCTCTTTGTTTATAGAGTTTAATTTTATTCTTCAAATTGATATTTATTCTATTGTGGCAATTTATGAACTATCCTAACTGGAAGTTAATAATTATGAAATTAAGATTTACAAAAATATAGGGTTGGTGTTACTTGGCAATTCCTTAATCTGAAGTCATTCTTTTCATCTGATTTTGCCCGCCAAATGTTTGTTAAAATGCTTGAATCAGATATTTCAACCAATTTTTTTGTAATCTTTGAACTATCATATCTCTCTCGTACTAGCTTAGAATGATCTGAAATTTGTGTATGCATATTCTTCTTTGTGTTAGCTACAAGTTAGGTTTGAAAGTTATTTTAATTGGATTAATATTGGCTGAGTTATAGCCCTTCGAACATGCGATGTTATAGTTGTATTTTTTGCACTTTTACTTTGTTCAGAAAAATTTGTGACCTTTGAATGTCATATTTACCATATTCTAGCTTGTAATAACCTGACCTTTTTTCTAAAGTACTGTCCTCTGTGTTAGCTACAATGTAAGCTCTAGAATCATTGTAATTAGATTAAGTCGATTATTTGGATCAAGTGACTCGGGGAATACTTGATCAAGTGACTCGAGTATTACATTCTGTTAGAATAAATTAAAATTATTTAATGTCTAACGCATTCTATTAGAATTTTTATAGTTTTATTCTTTTAGAATATACTAAAAAGTTATAATATTTTAAAGTTCATTATGTTTTTTTTTTATTTAGGTTTTGAAGGGTCTGCCATTGATGTGGAAAATGAAAGAAAACAAGGAGAACGAGAGTATTCTAGCAGAATGTTGTTATTTTTTAAGAATTTTATTCATTTTTGTTGATATTCTTTTATAATATGTATAATTATATTAAAATGTATAAGACTTTTAGCCTGTAAGAATATGTATGAATTTGTATTTAAGTTCGAATGTATTAGAATATATTAGAATGTTGTTATTTTTCAACCTCGGATTCAAGAATTTTGTTATTCTTCAATAATATTCTAATAGAATAAAATTCTGAAAGAACATCATTCTAACAAAAAAATATTCTGACAGAATAAAATCGATTATGTTTACAAATTACGTTAGAATTAAAATTGAATTAATTAAAAAAATCAGATTTTTAAAAATAGGAGAATTAATTATCCCTAAAATCCGAAAATTTTCTTTTATAAATGTAGTTAATTGTCTAAAATACCCTTTTGCTAAAATTTGTGCGATTATATGGTACATGTTATCCCATTGTAATATTATACACTCTCAAATCATGTCCATTGATTAATTCCATCCGTTGATCCAGATCTATTCATGAGTAACCCGCGGGTAGATGTCATTCAAAAGATTTAAATTATGCAGTTTTAATAGATGTATATATTATCATATAATTCAAAATAGAGTAAATTACATGAATGGTCCCTATGGTTTAGAGTAATTTGCATGTTTGGTCCCTGACTTATTTTTTTTTAACTCGGAAGGTCTCTATTATTTGTTTTTGTTACGCACTTGGTCAATGTCTTACATAAAAAGACTGTTTTTTCCCTTGATTTTATAATTTATTTAAATAAACACACCCCAACCCCACCCATTCACCTTACCTTACCTACCCCGCAATTTTTCCCTATTTAAATAATAGTCTTTTTTGGTAAGACAGAGACCAAACGCATAACAAAAACAAACAGTAGGAACAAAGCGCGTAACAAAAACAAATAGTAGGGACCTTCCGAGTTAAAAAAATAAGTTAGAGACCAAGCGCGCAAATCACCCCAAACCATAGGGACCATTCGTGTAATTTACTCTTCAAAATAATCAATATATTATATCTCCTTAGTATACGAATTATTATATCAAATTTAACAATAACATTATTGTTATATTTAAAAAAAACATGTAAAGATTTCAGTTACATAGATGCTTATGCGCAACGCGCGGGCATTCGCCTAGTATATATATATATATATATATATATATATATATATATATATATATATATATATATATATATATATATATATATATATAATATATATAGAGAGGGAGTTAGGTTCATATATAACCCACAATTATTGTGTGAATATATGACCAAATGTGGTCCAATCATTTCATAAGTGTAATTTAGTAATTTTTTTAGTTGAATTAACTATCTTTAAATTAAAATCTATAATCAATTCATTAAATAACCTAAAAACCTATAATTAAGGAATTTAAGCAATATTACGTTAGAATTTATCTTCTATAACCACCATCGCCTAGGGTTTATTCTATTTTCCTGTTTTTCTTTCACACATCGACGAGATGCTAAGAACCGAAGGATGAACCGGTGAAGCACACATGACGTGAAGACTAGAGACTGGAGACACACGAATGATGGCCTTAGTTCGACACACCTACCTCTACAGTCCATTTGATGGTTGTGGGGTACAAGACTTGTCTAAACGCTATAGTAATCATTGGTTCCATAACTGGAAAAAGGAACCAAACTCATGGGACGATTATCGATCAACACCTGCAAATTGGCCAATTCTCGATTTTTTTTAAAGTCTTGTCGACCCACTTTGACCTGCAACTTAATTTATTGATTTGTATGTTTGTATCAATTTGGTTTTAAGGATTATTGGACATCTATGGTTGTGTTTCTAAAAATTTGATATGTGATTACAATATTTTGAATTCCAATTTAATGAACTAGTTCCATTTCTATTTTAATCTGCACTGCAAGAGGTCAGATTTTCTTTTTGTGTTTAAAATTCTTGAACCTGTTGTTTGGATTTTTGCCCTTTGGCTGGACAGTCTAATTTTCCTAAGGAAAATATGAGCAAAATTTTCCTTTGCCTTGAAAGATAATTTTCCATTTTGCAAATTAGTTAATCCTACTTCTAATTAGCTAAATATCAAGAAAAATTATAGGCCCTAAACTACGATTCTGTTAACAATTAACACACATTCAGGTTAAATTACAAGCACACAAATTATATAACTCTGCTTCATTTTAATGATGTGGCTAAAAATACTAATTAATGTATTATAAACATAATATCTTTTTGATAATTTGATTTGAAGTATCCTGAAGTTGCATCTTTAGATATTTAGATCTCACTTTTTTTATTTCTGTACAGGATAAAAACAGAAAAAGAAACCAATATACTTTTTAAGAATGAAAGGTTGAAAAAAGGACAAATGGTTCAAGAATGTTACAGATTACGTTGGTTGGTCAAAGATTAACTAATATGATAAAAAAAACATAGGAGGAAAATGTATAGTTTTTGTTTTTTTAATTTAGCATTTTGACAAAAAAGAATGTGTTATATATTCTTTTTTTATATATATATTCTTCAAGAATGATGACAATTTCTTAAAGAATTTAGTATAAAAGGTTGTATATATTCTTCAAAATGTTGTATATATTCTTTTTTAATGTTATAAAAATGATTGTTTATGTTATAAGAATGGTTCTTATTTATTTTTGTAGCATGTATTCTTGATTATATTAAAAAATGATATGTTACTGTCTAATATATTATTTATATTCTTTAAGAACGTTATTTCTCATAACATATTAGTATTTAAGAAAGAAGAGAATAAAAAAACTATTAAATGAAATTGTACGTATTCTTTAAGATTGAAAGATTCAAAGTGTTATAATAAAAAATTATTCTTTAATAATGAGAACCACAAGAATGGAAATTGAATTCTGGAAGTATTTTAAAAAATCTTAATTTATATTTTAAATTTTGAAATTTGAAATTTGAATTTTATTAATTAATTGTATTTAGTTGCCTAAAATGTAGACAATTATTATTTATATCTCTTAATGAAATGTCATATTTTCCATTATAATTAACTAAGTGTAATAATGTAATAAACGCTAGTCTATATTAATATAGCGTACCTCAGATCACATCCTTTCATTCTTTTAAATCTAATGGTCACAATATAGTCATACATTAACAAAATACATGTGCTTCACATTTGATCCTATATATATATATATATATATATATATATATATATATATATATATATCTTCTTTAATAAATAAAAATAATTTTGTCACATGTTATTCTCTCATGCATTATGTCACATGTTATTTAGTCATAATTTTAAGATATTTATTTTCCACTTGTTATTTATTTTATTTTTTATTTTTCAATATATCATTAATTTAATTTCCATAAATTAAACATACCATAATAATTATATTAATTTCAAATTTCAATTTTCAATTTTCAATTTTCAAACTTCAATTTTAATTTTAGATAAATTTACAGTTTAAACCTTCGTATTTAAAATTTTGTTATAATTAACATGTTTAATACACGGGTCTGATAACTAAACACATAATTTTTTTTGCATGTTTTTTTTCATAGTTTTGACTTATTTCAAATTTCAAATTCAAATAAACTTCCCATTTAATTATTCGTATTTAACATTTTGTTTTAATCAACCCGTATAATATACGGGTCTTACAACTACTATATATATATATATATATATATATATATATATATATATATATATACACACACACACATAAACATTTTTACCATTTAATCTACACAAAATACAAACATTTTACTCTCAAAATGTTTTCTAATAACCTGAATGATCCCGACTCTTCCAATCCAATTACACTATTCGGTTATGATTCGTCATCACCACCATCTCACCGGCCACAAATCGATTCATGAATTTACTCTCAAAACCAAATGTTTGTAGATGGTGTTACAACGCAGTTTTATAGGGGTATGGGTGGAAGTCCATATTATCGGACGCATGACCAATGTAACTCAAAATGGGCTAATGTGAACAAACTCATAATGGATTGGAACAAAATTTACACAAACTTTGAAAAACAATGGGTTAGCGGGGAAATTATGTAAGTTTGTTGAAAAAAACGCACACGACATTCCAAGATGACATGCTAAAGCCTTTTAAATTCATGCATGTTTGGGATGTTGTCAAAAAAAGTATTAGGTGGAAGAAATTTGGAACATATGAAGACATTTCAAATCATCCAAAAAGAAGCAAAACATCTTCATATTCGAGCTCACAACATATGTCATCGGATAGTCACATCGGCGTCGATCTTAATGATGACAACAATGACATTGAAGAAATACATCCATCTCCTCGTCCTATGGGAAAGGACAAAGTAAAAGCTAAAGGAAAAGTAAAAGCGACATCTTCAAATTCGTCGGTCGAAACCGGACGGTCAACAAATTTGAAGAAATGATGGTGCAAATGGCACAATTGAATACAACTATCGAGAAACATATTGTCGAAACCGTCTGACTCATGGAAATATTTTTTTATTTTGAAAAAAAAATTGTTAATATGCAAAAACATCACCACACCCTATTTTAAAAAAGGCAAAAATGGCAAACGATTATGTGGTGCCTATGTGCATACTTTTTTGGTAGACAAAAACATCACTATACTCTGTCATTGTATCATGACAAGTGTGAAAAATTGAATTAGATTGAGTTATAGGGAAAAAGAGATCAATTTATTTTTTAATAAAATAATTGGGTTGGCTTGTCTACTAATGGTCATGTGGATAGTCCTATGTGAATATACGGTAAAAACTACCACACACAATTCTTGATTGTCGGTAATAATAATTTTGATTATGTAATTCATATATAAATTTTGCTTAAAGAACTATTAGTTCGTCTATTAATATTACCAAACAAATGATGCGATACTGAATTTATATTTTTATTTGTAATTTAAAAAATAATTAATATAGAATTATTTTAAGTTATTTTTACTATTAATCAAATACCTAAAAATGGACTTTTCTATAGCAAATGAATAATTATTTGTAAGAATACGCCACTGAAAACGTAAAAATGTCCAACCATTCCACGTTGAAAGTGATCGAATAACTATTTGTAGTTACTTAATTTAATAATCAATAAATTATATAAAAATTATGGCATCAAGAATATGCCACTTAAAACGTAAAAATGTCCAACCATTCCAACTTAGTATTGGAACTCATTTACTCATGAGCGACCGAAGACTATTCACAATTTATTGTTTTAATAGACAAATATATTACAATATTTTGTTTTCTATCAAACTTTTATTTATTATTTTATTGTCCAAAATCGACCACTCATATTAGTTTGTTTAACAAGAAATGAATTAAATCAACATAAATAATGTCGTGTTCATGAAAGATTAGATTATATTAGATACGTGAACTCATCATTCTATAAGAAGATATTATATATTTTAAATTGACCCATTACCAAAAAAAAAAAATCATTTTTTATCCATTTTCTTATAAATTAATCACATTTGACTATATGTTATTTTATACGCTAAAAAATGAGATGTTAGTAAGTAGTATGATCATCTCTAACCCTTAACATTATTTTTTTATACTATACATATAATTATAGCGTAAAAGATAGCGTAATACTAAAGTGCTCAAACTCATTACATTATATTTAACACTAAAAAGAATATTCTAGGTATAGTGTTCTTTATTCAACACTATATTTAATGTTACACTAAAATCCAACACTATATAAGTGTTAGGTATAGTGTACGGTTAGAGTGTTATAATGTAATTTATTATGTAAAAGTGGTTCCACGCTCCCTCATGTTACCACAATGCCCACATAGGCGTCACCTCACCATTTACCACAAAAGTGTGGTTTTTTACCACACTCAAGGACTGGTGTCGCACTTTTTTTTTAATAAATAAAAACTTTAGTTTTAATTAAAAAGATAGTATTTCATTAATTAAAAAAAAACATAACATCATATTAAAAAAATCCTAAAAACTTAGAAAAAATTATACAAATCTTAAACCTACAAACAAAAACACACACACACACACCAAACGATTAAAAAAAATCCTAGTTAGCATAACTTTTTTGACATCGGCTTTCATTACCAAATGTAACGCCTGGTTCATGGTATGTATTTAAAATCATAATTTAAGCACTTTTATAGAGAAATTCAGCGAGTTGGGAGCCCCAGACTCGTCAAGTAGAGATGATTTGGGAGGTGGGTTAAGAAACCTACTCGACAAGTTGGGAGGCCTCAACTCGACGAGTAGGCTGGCAGAAATGAAACCCTAACTTCCAGGGTTTTGTACCCTATTTAAAGGCCTTAATGTTTCATTGTGGCCTCCCTCATCGTCTCTTCAGTCCATAGAAAACCCTAATCGTGCCTCTTTCCCCATTTTGTGTGTGAGAGAGCCTAAAGAGTGTTCTTTGGTGCTTTTCTTGAAGGAGTGTGAAGTTGGTGGTGCAAGGTTGAAGGGAGAAGCTTTAGATCCAGGATTTCCAGTGTTGTTGCTACCATTTGGAGGTATAAAGTCGATACCTTGACTATTTATTTGCTAGATCTCTTCTTTGAGAAGTTTATGGCCTTTAGTAGCTTATTTTGGAGTCATTCATGGATTTGAACATGTTATGAAGTTATCACTTCAGATCTATACATTTAATGGCCTATTGAGACTTAAAGTTGCCAGCTTTATCAAGTCTTGGCCCTCCTCCATGCCCTAGGTCCCTTATGAAGCTTAGTTTTAGTGTTTTTAGCCTCTTGATACCATACATGGACGTAAAGTTAGCAACTTTACGTGGTATCTCAGCCCAAGGGGACCAGATCTATGGTTTGGAGGCATTAGACTCGCTTGGAAGTGACTGAATGAGTTAAGACTAAGGAAAACTCGACGATTTGTTTACCTAACTCGACGAGTTGGATCGCGGTCCCCCGACCTTTATGATTACTGAGCAAACTCGGCGAGTTGGCTAGGGTTTTCTCGGTTTTTCTGAAGACTGAAGGAACTCGACGAGCTTATGGATACACTCGATGATTTGGGTCAACATGGATTGTTGACCTTGACTTTGACCATGGTTGACCAAGTTTGACTTCTGGGGGCAGTTTGGGTATTTCGGGATTTTGATGGATTGATCACTTGGTGAATGTAGGCATTGAGTAGAGAGCTGATATACGGAATCAGGCCTTAGCAAGTTCTGTGCAGCTTTTGAGGTGAGTTACCTTCCTGTAGAAGTGGGTCGAAGGCACCGATGACAGCCCACTAGTAGTTGATTATAGTAGAGATGATTGTCTTTGTAATAATTGTCTGAAATGCCACTATTTGTTATGCTTTATGTGCTAGTATACTATGATATTATGTGATAGTGGTAGGAGGGGTGGATTAGACCCCATAACCGGTTGAGATAAACCAGAGGGTAGGTCGGGCACCCAGATATGCCTGACAGTATGGTTATGATATGTTATTATATGGTAGTGGTATGGGTGAAATAGAACCCGTAACTGGTTGGGATAAACCGGAGGGTAGGTAGGGCACCCTGGTATGCCTGGCAGGGTAGGTCGGGCACCCATATATGCCTAACAGGGGTAGGTCGTGCACCCCGGTATGCCTGACATGGGTAGGTTGAGCACCCAGGTATGCTCAGCAGGATAGGTCGGTCACCTAGATATGTATGACAGTATGTTTATTGTATGGTATGTGGTATGATAGGGGAACTCACTAAGCTTTGTGCTTACGGTTTTCAGTTTTGGTTTCAGGTACTTCTTCTTCGAAAGGAAAGGAGTCGGCATGATTGCAGCGCATGACACCATGATTTCCGCACATGAGATCTTTGGGAGTTATACTCTGATGTTGTTTTATTATGACATGTTTTGATTATTGACATATTGGTTTTGACATGGGATGACACTATGGATGTTTTAGACTATTGCTTTTATAATTAATTAAAAATGAAATTTTTGGTCTTGAATTTTGGGATGTTACACCAAAGCAATTTCAAGGTCCTCCCTGGTCAGCTGTTATGTGTTCATTGTTAGTTTTTTTAAGTCGCTTTCCCTTTGTTTCCGAACCTCTCTTTCGGAAGCAATTTGCAAAATTTTGTTCAGTCTATCTTTTATACCCTTCATATCGTCCCCGATGTCTTTCAAATCATTCGAATTCGATGATTTGCCTTTGCCTTTGTTTTTTGTTTTGTCACTTCCCATTAGTCGGGAAGGTGGTGAACTTTGGACCAGCTCATCTTCATTGAGGTTGAAACCAACACGACCATCAGATGTAGTGTGTTCGGATTCAGATGCTTTTGACCGTTTTGACCCACTCTCGATATGGCTGTCAGATGTTTTGTTTAATTGTCATTTTTTGTAGTCTTTGACGAGATTCCAAACTTCAACAAACTTGAAAGGCTTCTTTTTTTCTTTTTGGTAGACTTTTAAAGCCTTCTGTAAAATCACGACATCGCTTTCGTCGTTTCTCCATTGTCGTTTCATGTTGTTATGCAAAATCACTATACAACATGACTTCCTTGTTCATCTTCCCCCATTTTGAGTAAACTTGGTCTTTTGTATGATACTCGGGATGGTTCATTCCTTTGTGGAACATATGTTTAACTCGCATCCAAAAACAGTCGTGTTTTTGGTCTTTGCCCATCTTCGCATCTTCAAAGATATTGATCCATGCTTGTGGCAATACTAAACATTTGTCATCTTCCCAATTTTAGCCGACGCCTTTTGTTTTCTTTTAGTTGGTGCTCGAGTGGGTTGAGTTTCTTGAACGAATTCTGGTTTAGAATCAGAAATGGGTGTTTATGGTTGTGATTGTGTTTGTTGAACAAACTCGGGTTAGGACAAAAAATCAAATGGATTAAATTTTGGATCGGGTTGTGGTGCTCTTTGTGTTTGTGGTTGTGTTGGTCGTTGTGGAAAATATGGTATCATACCAACATAATAATTAAACGGGAGCGAATAAATCGGTTGATCCATCGTAGGTCTAGCCGGTGTAGTGTTTCTAGCGGATGTTTTTTGGTTGTTTAGGTTGTTGGAAGAAGACATTTTACAAAAATTTTGAAGTGAATTTGGTAAAAGATGGAGAGGATTGAGAGAGATTTGTTTAAAAAAAATAGAAGGTATACACACACACAAACACATATATTTGAATTTTGACCGTTCCCAACAGTCACATACCAATGGCCAATCAAAATACATGGGAATGTGTGTGTGTGTGTGGGGGGGGGGGTCCCCTGTCTATGTGGCAAAAATTATGGCCTAGCCGCATCCATTCCCCATAGTCTAACCCTTACATCATGAGTTATTACCGTTAAAAAAATGTTATTGCCGTTAAAAGAAAAATAAAAGGTAAAAAGTCAACTATGAGTAATTAGGGTATCATCACTAAATTTTATAATTTTTAATAGATTGTCATATTAATGTTATAGGTTT